TGTACATATTTCTTCTGTCAGAGTTACCGGGACAGCAGTTAAATAAATTGAAAATATGAATTCAATAAAATTGAATAAATTAAAATAAATTGTGCAATAAATATTTCAAGCTAGTGCACAACGAAATACCTCATCTGGAGTCCTGTCCTGTGTTCAGCTCTGGGGCTCCCAACTTCAGAAGAAAGACCAAAAAAAAAGCATTGTGATAAACATAAAAATAGAAGTCAAGTTCTGACCGGGTAACACATCTGATGTAAGACAAAGAATTCAGACAGACCCAGTAATCTGCTGATGGTTCTTTCCCTCAAAACAATTACTTCATTTTTCAAAAAGCAGCATCATCTGGCCTCAACATCTAAACTCGACAAGCATTTTTGCCTGCTGGGGTTTTCCAGGGGTTATTCTGACTACTGATAAAGCCTGCAGTGTTATGAAGTCACATTAAATGAATTCAACAGAGGGCATTAATCCTGGCAAATTACTTCCAATAATTAGAAAAGCCCAGCTGCAGCAAAGGCAGACAAGAGTTTCCATTAGAGAACAGAAAATGCCATAATATAACCTTCTTTCTCTTGGACCCTACAGCTTAAGGAAGGTTTTCTTTCTACTGTGATACAAGAAGACAAGAAATCTGCAGAGGGACTTACTACAAAGGAATATAGTGACAGAACAAGGGGGAATGCCTTTAACTGACAGAGGAGAGATTGAGATGAGCTCTTAGGCAGAAGCACTTCCCTGTGAGGGTGCTGAGGCGCTGGCACAGGGTGCCCAGAGAAGCTGTGGCTGCCCCATCCCTGGCAGTGTTCAAGGCCAGGTTGGACACAGGAGCTTGGAGCAAGCTGCTCTAGTGGAAGGTGTCCCTGCCCGTGGCAGGGGGTTTGGAACTGGATGAGTTTTAAGGTCTCTTCCAACCCAAACCATTCCATGATTCGTTCTATGATTCTATGCCTAGTCTTCCCTATTAAATTATCTGTAAGTGCCTGGGATGATGGGTGAAAACACAACTATTCTTTTGGAGAACCCTTCATTCTAGCTGAGGGGGAAGGTATAGGAAGAGAAGAGAAATATGTAGCATTGTTACTAGCTTTGAACTGTTGTCATTGGAAGTTAAACCCAACTGCTTACTTTCCTTGTGCATATTTACAAGCTTGTATTTTTGGCTGAGATGGTGCCATGTGCAGTAACATCTGTACAGCGTTAAGGTTGGGAAGAAATTCATTTTGCATTGAGGCTAGAGACAGTACAGAAATAGGAGAAATTTCCACAGATCAAAAGCTCCTGTTCTCCCCTGTCCACTTTTGGGATGTTTCTCCCGTATTTCATGCCTCCAATCAACTGCATTGAACATAGTCTTCTAGTCAACTGCTTCCAAGTCTGCTGCAAGACCAACTTTTCACCTATTCCCATGTTCTCAGTCTTTACTCTTCCTGACACCAGCTTGAACCACTAAAGATAACTACTATCTACTGCCTTCAGCATTTGCAGCCACACTGATTCTCCTTCCTTTTTTGCTTGCACGTGGAAAACTAATCTCTGTATTCTCCTAAAAACAGTTCCCTCATTTCATAAAAGATGCATCAGATAGACCTACAACCCTTGCTTAGATAGCCCTTAGTTTTTCTTACAGTGACCATGTTTTAGTTACTTTATAAGTGAATTTCAGGCAGCATTTGCATTTTGATCATTTACCATCAAAAGCCTATTGAAACATCTCAGCATATCAGCAGAGACTCTGTGAACAGCCACCCATGTTATTTATCTTATTATTAGAAAATGCTTTTGAAACACATTTAGAGGAAGTCCCCATTTGAAAACTCCCTTGAGTAAGTGTGTGCTTCTCTGCTGAGTTTCTCTGAATTAGCAAGGATAGAGAGTTTAGCAGTTTAATAGACTTCTGTATTAGTTCCTCTGGATCTTTGAACATGTAATCCCAATTTGGATATCAATGTGACAGATTATACCATGTCAGTCACCCTCCCTTCTTTTTGGACTGTCAATAAAGCACAGCAATACTACTGAGCATCACCACTCATACTTTGTGGCTTTGGACAAACCTGTGTGGAACAAATTATAAAGTGTGCAATATGACAGACCAAAGCATCCAAGAGAAAAGTCCTGAAGTCTTACATATGGCATCAGAATAGCTTTTCCAAAAGCATTATTGGTGGGGCATGTGCATCAGGCCCTGTAGAAGAAAAAGCTAACAGATTTATCCAAATGCTTTCAGGAAATGCCCAGCTCCATTCACCACTAAGCAGTTATTTCTAAACTGGCAGCCTGAGAAGAACCATTCCTGGTTTATGGTAGCATTTTTCATTCTGATCACCAGAAAGTTTGTGCTGAATGTTGAAGATGGAAACAAAGCTTTAATTGAGGCAAATACGGAGAGTGCCTCATTCATGAGAGTAGGAGAAAAGGAATCAGGAAGTTGATATGACATTTCACAGGCATGCAAAGCTCACTGAATAGCAGTTCAAGAGCACTTTCCTGAACTATCCATAGTAAATTGCCTGCAAACAGTCTATTCAAAGATGTCTTTGCTCTGCCAACATAAAGTAGCTATTCCATCAGTAGTTTAACAGTAAAGACATACTTATGATGCATCCAGATATCGCTGACTGCATTCAAGTGTCTGTCATACAAAACCACTCTTGAGTTCAGCAAGGCACTCTCAGGGACAGCAATGTTCTAGTTGTCAAAGGCCAGCAATGACAGCTTCATGTCACTGCTCTGTGCTGAGGAATTTTTCCATCCAAAGCCCTAGTGTTGACTGAGAGAGTGGTACAGAACCAGCTCTTCCAGCTGTAGAAGTAATAGGTTGAAGGCAACAACCTCTCTGTGCTAAAAAAAAAAAAAAAATGCTGTGACATGGCCCTCAAATGACAGAATCCACCTCAACAAAAAATCACTAGATATGTTCTGTAAGACCAACTCCCTAGGTTATTGCAGCTTTCAATGGAAAATGGAAGCTGATTGTCACTAGGTTCTCTTCCAATCCTGAATAATTACAGAGATACATCTAGAAATAATTACAGAAGGTGGTTCTAGCATGGCAAAACCAAATATATCCCATGAATTCACTCAGTGAGCCTGAGGCAAAGTGATCAGGATAAGAAGAATGTGTCTTAGGCAGCATCTTCAATTCTCCAATCTCCAAGCACAAGTGTTTATGAAAGTCTTTGCTTAAGCTTCTATTCTATTTTTAACTCTTTAAAGGGCTTGCTGCATTCTGTATCACTACAGCCACATTTGAACTTTCTTGACACACTATTGTCAAGTGCATTGAGAAAGAGGTCTCTTTGTGTAAAAATGTATATTTATGTCTTCATATGCTGTCCTCAATGGGAATTATCTACATTAAGGGGTTTGTACAACATACAATTGAGTATCTTTGAATAATAGAAGAAAGATGTAAGAAGTAAATTGTGGAAACTTGTGGGTGTTTCATCATCCAGTTTGTACCCAGAATTACGAAATCACATTCAATTCAGTTTGAATGCCTGAAGATGGCCAACCATCCCATGTCACTGGCATGGCTCACTGTCAGTAGAAAATGTGGTTTGCAGCACTGTCAGTGTCCATAGCAAAGGCTCATTTTTAAACACTGGATCACTATACATGGCCAGTGAATAAAAGGTCATTGGAATTTCAACTTACAATTCAATCAAATAATCCCTTCTGGCTATTTAAGCATTGAAAGTTAGAAACATGAATAAGACCTTGTATTGTGTAGAAAAATCACTACAGCATAGCTGCCATGAATTTGAACTACTTACTTACATTCATAGAAATGTAATGGAACCTTATTTGTGTTTGGTTTTGGGATCATAGGAAAACTCAGGTTGGAAAGGCCCTAAGGAGGTCTCTAGGCTCCTGCTTGAAGCAGGGTCAGGAAGAAGGTCAGACCAAATTAACCAGTTTGTGAAAAGGAATTCAAAGCAACCCCTAAATGAAAAGAAGGGGTAAAATATCCCTTGATTACACTACTGCTTCAATGACTGTAAAGAACTAACCTTAAAAGAACATTTTCAGCAGTCATTTGTCACCTACATTAAATTATTTGGTTCAAATTATTTAAAATTCCTTGTAAGGAAGTCATATGTATTAACAGGAGAGTAGAGTGAACATCTGGGGAAAAACTAGGAAATACAGCTTGCTATTATTTGTGACACTCATTAAAATAATCCAATGCTGACACATTTGAAAAGTGATCTTTTTCCTTTCAGTGTTTGGATGACAAAGTACTGCTTAAAACATTTTTTTCATTTATTAAATGCTTTAGAGAGCATCATGAAGATACAACAGAAAATGAAAGATTCCTCTTCATGACAACTATTACTTTACAGAACAGCTGTTTGGGGAAATAATCTGAATTCTGCTGTTTCAAACTGATGTGCTGTAGCAATGTGTTTTGGAAACGATGAGCGGGGTGAGAACCTGCCTAATTTGTAGTAGGCTCCTTTTGACAAGCATTCCAAGGATTGCAGCATCAAAGCATGAATGAGAAAGACTGAAGCATGTTTGCATTAGTCTGTTTAAACACACAGCCAGAAAAACACCAGTTTTCTCAATGGAAATAAGACTGTAAGCCTAAGAAGTAGGAAACCAAAGAATCTTCTTATAAGGGTGCAGAGATGGATGCTAAATGCATGTGGAGGTATCACATCAAATAGTGAAGAACATCAGTACTGCCTCACTATACACTAGTCCTATTGCTTAACCCAAGTTACTTGCTTTCCATCAGCAGAGGTTGAGCTGTGTATTCTAGAATACAAAAGTTACTCTATTATATAGTTTCAGCAGGCTGATTCCCTGCTGGAAATCAATGGATGACTCAAATCAAAGACAAAAGGCAGCTTTGTGTTAAAGTCTTGAGAGAAATGTGCAACACCCTACTGCCCAAGGCACTCACACACATTGGAGCATCAATAAGTTAACTTGAAAGAGTGCAAAGGGTATTTTCATCTTTGTTTTGCTCAACAGGAGCAAGTGGCACTATGTATGTTTAAATAATGCATTTATTCTTTCCAAAAGAAGTTCAACATTCATGCAGATACAATAAAGCAACCTTAACTGAGCAGCCAGAATTGTGTATTCCTTCCCTTGGATGTTGATTTTGCAACCAGTAGTAAAGAACTTACACTCAGCTCCAGAAAACTCCTTTGTTGCTGCAGGTACTTCTTTCTTTCTGGGAGAGAGATGATTCTTTGCGTACTTCCACCCTCTGAAAACAACACACACAGAGTACAGACAGAGAAGCTCAGAGAGGGTGAAAATATTTCACTGACTTGTTTAATTTCATTTGTGACAAATACACTTCAAAACCCCCTCAGTCCGATTTTCCTCAGTGAGCTGGTGTCTGCTGCTGGCTATCACAGAAAATCCACTCACAAGAGCAAGGAGTATACTCCTTTCATTTCAAAGACCTTTATGAAATGGGACGTTATATTCAGAACTTTAGATGAAAGTGACTGAAAGGGAATGACTGTTTCTTCTCCCAAGTGTCATACACAAATAAAACACAACACAACAATTTTGTCCTCTCATTACTAACTGGGATGAACCCTTGGGAGATGTATCCCAACATATTTCTTTATGTGAAAATACCTTTGTTACTGGGAATTAGCTATGCCTAGTTATGCATACTAACCTAATAATATATGCATACTAACCTATAATAACTATGCCTAGTTATGCTGCCTAACCAAACAGTAACCAGATTTTAATTCACCAAGAAACTTGGACTGTGTTATATGTAAGTTAAAGCACCACTACAGCTTGCAAGAACATGAACTAACCTGTTGAACAGGATACTGCATCATGGTGCACGAAACATCAATTCCTATCCCCAATCTGTTCTCAAATACACACGTGCATATGGAATGAGTAGATGTAACCTCACTGCTGAGCCTTGCAATAAACATTGCTAAATTTTATAAGAGATATATGAAGAAACTTCTTTTACAAAGTAACTGTAATAAGCAAACTTCCATTTGGTTTCTATTTTCAGACAAAATATGTTTATAGGAGCTATTTCAATTCACCCATAATCTTCTCAGCACTAACTCCATGCAGTGCTTCTAGCTGTTGTATAAAACCCCAACCAAACAGACACGAACACAAAACAAAACCACTTGTTTCTTGCTGTAGATGATGACACGGGCACTGATGAAAAAGAATCAGCCAGGCTGGAAAAGACCTTTAAGGTTAAGTCCAACCTTTATCACAGGACCACAGATACTCAATACATTTGGTGCATGACAGTTGGCATAGCAACTACAGACCACTTCATATCATTTTTAGTCCAGTTGGTACTAGGGTTACAGAAAGCAATGGGCCTTTGGGAGTTTGGTATGTGCTACTGCGAGTGTGTACTGGTAAACTACTCTGTGCCCCTTGTTAACATCACCTATAACCACGTATTTATTCTTATAAGGGATGACAACAAAAGGAGCAACATCGCTGACAGAATAAACTTGAGCACTGTAATGAAAACACTGCTCTTTTCATTGTGAGTTTTGTCAAAAGCCAATTGAAGAAATCACTTGTACATAGCTCAGAACATGACGATCAGCATGCTGGTTCATCCCAAATTGCTGATGAAATTTAAACAAACTGGCAGGTTTTTCAGGAGGTTTGCACGGATCCAGCTTACCAGATCAGCTTCAGCCCATATTAAATACAAGGCTAAATTGCTTTTTCCACTAAACTGATCTGAACATAGGCTATCAATCTAGCAAGTGGCCAGTTAAAAAGTGTGTTTTCTTGAATTAGCAGCCACAGGCAAACAGTCAGCTATGGCTGGATAGTATTTAAGAGTAAAAGACATTCAATTTGTCCTGAATTGCAATGAGCTTACAGTCTATGAATTTGTACAACCAACACAGAAGACCATGATAATATTAGCACAGCCTTTTGTCTCATATGCACAGTGGTGACCTGCTTTGATAGTTATTTTTGGCAAGTCGCATCTAATCCATAGTCTGACATTAGTAAATTGACTCATAGCTTATAACCAAAAAAAAATGGGGTTTGGTTACATTTCTGCATAAACATATTTTCATTTTTAAAGGTTGGCAAAAGCTTGTTTAATACTGACATGATTAACTACGACACTGGCCAGATTCTTCTACATCCATACTTGCATTCTGAAAGTTCCCAGGTTTTATTTCTAGCCCTTACACTGAAACTAGCCCATGGCACAATCTGTCACAGCATAGAAATCAATACAAACTGATGCTCTGTTTGCCACTTCCAGTTGATGGTCCAGGGTGTACCGTCAGCATTGACCAGCAAAGGACAAAGTAAAGGAAATGCGCTTGAGCATCCAGAACAAAGAACCTGCATGACTGCAACTGCCAAAAACTACAGAATAAGAGAAGCAATCTGCCTCCTGCTCATACCTATTGCATACCCCTTTCATCCAGACAGACCTCATGCACATTGCAGAGAACTCCTCTTTCATTAAATAGCTCTCTCACTTGACCATGCTCATTACTGCATAGAATTAGAGCTAGCGCTCAACTAGTTTTTCCCAATCTCAGACATTTCCTTAACTACATCTTTGTCATAAGATCTAGTAATATATTGTTGGTCCCTTTATGCACTGGGAGCTGCTCTAAGGTCTCCCCAGAGCCTTCTCTTCTCCAGGCTGAGAATGCCTCTCTGAGGGCTGTGTAAATACAAATCTGCCACCCAAAGGTACTTCCTACCCTGAACATGCCTTAAATGAGTTTTCCAGCAAAGCTGATCATTTCCAAGTATGCCTGCTCCTTCCAGCTACAGCCATAAGGGGCAACTAGAGCCATTCAGTACTTATTGGTAAGGGTTTTCAAGCATATGGCTTAAATATTACCTCATTCATACAGGTAGGTTAAGTGAAAATACCAGTGCGATGTTCCTCAGACTTGGACCTTCAAAAACCTGCTGCTAAGAGACATGCTAAGAGACATCTCAGACTTTAGAACACACAGATACAGAACAGATGTTCATGAAAAAAAAACCTGGTCAGGGAAGCACAAAGGGAAGAACAGCTTCTCTGTTCTGAGGGGCTTTTTCCTTTAAGTGTTGGTCTACTGCCTAGTCTCTGTCAGCCTAGTAGAAATCTACGTGCCTTATATGGTTTGTTCTGAATTGGATGGTTCTTTTCATGACTTTTCATGACAGATCTCTTCATCCTACAATCACATACAAACATTTTCATGTAATTGTCCTCATTCATTAAAATCTTCCATGCATACGAGAAATCTCTTTGGCCGAAGTTTGCTGTGAAAATCTTCACATGGAATTATTAATACTTGACTTAGCATTTTTATTTAGTATACTAGTATAGATCCTAGTACTAGTAGCTAGTTTAGTAAATAGCATAGATCCTAGTCTGGTTTAGGAGACAGCACAACTTGCTTAGCACCTCACCTTGTTCTGTCGCCTTGTCCTTGAGTAAAATGGGTTCTGATTACTGAGACTGCTGCTCTGCTGCTGGTTTTACGCCCTTTCTGGAAAAACCCAGAGAGGGTTAAAATAAGCCTGGGAAGGGAACCAGACCCTGATAGGCCAGACAGATTTCCCTCCCCCCCGCTGCACCCTTTTTAGACTTACAAATGGCAAAAAGAAACTCGGAAAGTCTTCTGCTTGTTTGGCAGCTAACAGGAAAATATTTCTGTTTGCACTTAGCAACACTCTGAATCACAATTTGTAGTACAAAAACAGTTTACGCAGCCCGTTCTTTTACTCCAAGCTCTCTACAACAGTTTTACTCCAGCTTTGCGCCTTTTAGAAATCTTCAGGGCTGAGAAATTTTCTAGAAGACTCAAGGAAAGATCTCCACAGCTTCCCTTTGGGATACTGCTCTTTCAGAGGATCCTGCTGGTTTTTTAAGAAATAAATTCAAAGGAAAGGCAGATAGCAATAAAAATACCCCCACAAAGAACACGGGAAAGTGGAAATACCACACTTCTGTGAAATGACTGTAATATGTTGGAGTTTTTGCTTTATGATAGAAAATTGATATTTACTATCTGTACACAAAAATAGGAAATTATTATTTTCAGTCTCTAATATTACACAGGAAGGATTTTTTTAATCATCAGCTTAATCCATATGCTTATTAAAAAGCATAAACTAAATTATTAATGTAGAAATGCTTGATGTATAAAGTTTTACCTTCTCACAAATGTGGATACCCTCTAAATTCCCCCAGTCTCTCCTCTAATGTGGCTTAGAACTAAAGCAAGGAAGTGAAGATCTGACATTGCTTCAGTTCAATAGAAAGACATTCATTGTGGATCCTGATCCTGAATATATTGTGTAACTGTCTGAAAACTTCTTGCCTTATTAAAACACAAAGAACAGTCAAAGGAAATAGCTGGTAAAACAGTTTCAAGACATCTGCCTAGAATTTTTCATGGTAATTAGCTCAGTTCATAGACTTAAAAAAGATTCATTAAATACAGAACAGTAACATTCTCTACAGTCATAAAATGATAGCTCAGCATTTGTAAGCGCTCATGAAGGCATCTTGCCCTCATCCTAATTAGATACGGGAGTTTAAAACCTTAAAAAAAAGGCGGGGGGGAGGGCAATACCTACCATTGATTTATGAATTGTGGCATTTTCTATTAGACTAAAATAATGCAAATAGGCTTTGAAAGACATAATCCCAATGGCAGTTTCTGTAGTTATGAATAAAGGCTGTCCTAACAACAGAGTTGGTTTTATATTCTGGTATTCCACTCGAGTGTCTATCTCCTCAGTTTAAGGGATGTGACCTGAGGCCACAGTCATGATAGTGAACTATATATAACACTGGCAATAAAACAAGTACAGAATTCCTGTAGGAACTGAAAAAACAAATCCCATATGCATACACACATTAAATTGGCATGCTAAGTCTACTTCATGAGTCTCATGCTCTACCTTTTGTAAGATACCAGCATATAACTGAAAACTTAAGCAAAGGTCCACATATGGTTTGTCAAAACATACATTAAATCAATTGTCTGCTTACCTACAAGACACACTTGTGACTGTTCTTTGGTCATGAGAATGATTCTCTATGGGCCATATGAATCTCAGGCTGATGACAAGAAGCTGCACATGTGCATAATGAGACCTGCTGTTAAAGGACAACTTCCCACTGGACACAAAGTGCCGTGCTGTGAGATCTTGTACTTTGGCAAGCTCAGTCATCAGTGAAATGGCATTTAATTAATATTTTTTTTAATCTAAAAGAGTAATTGGGTGAGCAGAACCCATCAGACTGAAAGCTTCCCATTGCCATAAGACAGAAATACACTTAGCAGCTATCCTGAGAGGAAACTGGAAATACCATGGCATTGTGCTGTAGTAGTTACACATCACTCCTTTGGAATTGCAGAACTGAGTTCAAAGAGACAAACTGCTTTGTTCTACTACTGGAGGGCAGGGAGCACAAACTTAGAAGACAATTACACAGTATTTGTCACTAAATCAAACAGTGATTGAAGTGGAAGCACTGGGAGCTCCAACACTCAGCTCTCTATGTTGGGGATTACTGCAGAAATCCCAAACATAGCACAAAACAGGTGGATTTGCATCAGTGAGGTATTGAGCAGGAGTTCATTACACTTAAGCTGCTCTTAAATCCTGTGCTCTGATTAAGATATAGCTTGGGTACATCTTGTCATGGGTATGGGCAGCTCAGGCACTGGTAGCTCAAGGCTGTGATTGGATCAACGATCCATTTGGCTAAACTGGAGCAAAAGGAGTTGAAAGAGTCACTAATTGTTTACCTATGAAAAGTTATAAAAGGGGAAACTGCAAACAGTTAAACAAGTAAAGAGGTACTGAAGAGAAGTCAGTAAGACAACTGAAAGTGGATGAACTTCCAAAGGAAGCAATGAACACATGTAGCTGACAAAGCACTCCATTACATGGAGATTATTTCAATAGTGGTATTTGATTTGAAAGAATGAACAGGCAGGTCTAACTCATCTCTCTACTAATGTTCATCTAATTTCTCTCTCTCCTCTTTAAGTTGTATCAGTCTGACATTTCAAATATCGGTGCTCTGCGTAAGTTCCAGAAGTAACTTGTGCCAGTGGGAAGGGAGACATACAGCATCTGAATGAACGTGAGAGAGCTTGATCCACATTTCAGCCTCGTATTCTTTGCTGAATGCTTGCTGTTCTCCTTTCAGATCTGGAAAGCTGCAGATTGACATATCTCTGGATTTTTTATGTTGTGATACTTTTCTCCTAGGATCTCTGCCCTGCTGGTTCTGGGAAACTTGTGACCTCTGCATTTTTAATTAGAACTCGTAACTTTTTCCATAGCAACATATTATGATCTCACAAGTACAGAATATGTCAAATTGAACAACTCCTGGTCAAATTAAGTCCAAATAGATATAAATACTGAGCAGCAACAAGATGTATGATACGGCACAGTTAAGAAAAAGAAAACAGACAGCAAAAGAGAGATGGAAGTCTTGGCTTTGGTTAATCCAGAAGTTTGACCTTAGTAATTAATGAATTGATACAAATAGAATAAGATTGCAAGCTGAACTGATTTATATGAAGAGTTCTTAAAACTAATTTCCTCGCATTGCGAACAGATAAAATCCAGCTGTCTGATTGGTGTGCTAGGGCTCACGTGAGACAGAGGAAATGAACTAGTCTCAGGAAATATTCTAGATGGGGACAAAGCATTACTCATAAGGATAAACAGTATAAGCAGGCTGTGAAAGGAAAAGAAATGCTCTGCAACAAAATCTGAGCTCAGATCTTAACAGACCCAGCAATAATGCAATTCAATATGATGGGTTAAGAAAAAGAATAGCATAATACAGCACTTACAGATGTATTTTTCAAAAACATTTATGATACATACCTTGCATATGCCAAAAACTATTTCCTTTCATAAGAACAGCTAGGAATTTTTGTCCTTCAGATACACTATTTACGTGTTACTATAATTTTTTCATTGAATCATGATTACAAACCTTTTTTTTGGTATTACTTACCATCCATGTGAGCTTTTGAAATGTATTTCAGTGTCAGCAGGGACTTGCACAGAACAGTACTTCCTGTCACCTTTTCCTTGTCATTACCAAGAAAGGCATTACCAGATTTCCTCTCTAATATAAAGAAGTCTCAGCCAAGAAGAATATATTTTTCTGATTAACCAGACTTCTGCTCACTTTTCCCACAGTCAGTTACTTGTGTTTCCTTCTCCTGCTTTAAGCTAAGATTTTTTAAGCTAAGTTCTGGTGTCCTCAACATGGATCTGTTGGAGCAAGTTCTGAGGAGGTCACGAGGATGATCAGGGGACTGGAGCACCTCCAGTATGAAGACAGGCTGAGAACATTGGGGCTGTTCAGCCTGGAGAAGAGAAGCTGCATGGAAACCTCAGAGCAGCTTCCAGTGACTGAAGGGGACTGCAAGGATGCTGGAGAGGGACTCTTCATCAGGGACTGTAGCGATAGGACAAGGGGTGATGGGCTCAAACTTAAACAAGGGATGTTCAGGTTAGACATAAGGAAGAAGTATGAAAACAGAGTCTCCTCATTATTGTCCCAAACACTTAGGAGGGCTGATGAGCCTGAGTTCAACCCCTGCAGGACTTCCTGGAAATCTGACTATTTACTCACATTTTGTTGCCTACTCTGAACGATTTTCATTTCAATGTGCAAGGACCACGAAGATGATCAAGGGCTGGAGCACCTCTCCTGTGAATACAGGCTGAGAGCACTGGGCTGGTTCAGCTTGGACAAGAGAAGGCTCCAGAGAGACCTTACAGCAGCTTCCAGTGCCTAAACAGGCCTCGGAAAACCTTGAGAGGGGCTTTGGACAAGGGCCTGTAGGGACAGGGCAAGGGGAATGGCTTTAACCTGCCAGAGGTGAGACTGAGATGAGCTCTTAAGCAGAAGCTCTTCCCTGTGAGGGTGCTGAGGCGCTGGCACAGGGTGCCCAGAGAAGCTGTGGCTGCCCTATCCCTGGCAGTGTTCAAGGCCAGGTTGAACACAGGGGCTTGGAGCAAGCTGCTCCAGTGGAAGGTCACCTTACTATGGCAGGGGTTTTGAACTGGACGATCTTTTAGGTCCCTTCCAACCCAAACCAGTCTATGAGTCTATTATTCCATTATTCTACTCATTGACCATGACACCTTAGCAGTTTTAGTACTGAAATACATCATTCGTACATCATTCCATTATTCTACTCATTGACCATGACAGCTGTCCTGGGTTCAGCAGTAGCAGTCATGTTTCTCCTTTGTGGTAGCTGGTGCAGTGCTGTGTTTTGACTTCCAGCCTGGGAGCAATGTTGGTGAAACCGATGTTTTCGGTTGCTGCTAAGTGATGTTTACCCTGACCAAGGACTTTGTGAGGCTCATGCTCTGCCAGGGAGGAGGGGAAGCTCTGAGGAAGCAGAGACAGGGCGCCTGACCCAGGTTAGCCAAGGAGGTATTCCATACCACAGCACGTCATAGCCGGGGTGGGGGGTAACTGGGAGTTACCCGGAAGGACACAGGCTTCCGGATGGGACTCGTTTCTTGGCCGGTGGTATCGTACTCTCTTCCCTTGTTATTTTCTCTTATCATTGTTGTAGTTGATAGTAGCGGTGGTGATTTGTGTTGTACATTGGTTGCTGAACTGTTCTTGTCTCAACCCGTGGGAGTTGCACCCTTTCGATCCTGCTCCCCGTTCCTCTGGGAGCGGCGAAGGGGAGAGCCCCGGTGGCGGGGGGGGGGGCCTCGATTGTTGTCAGCCCGGCACCACTCACTGGGAGTGAGTGAACAAGTTGCCTGACTGGGTTTAAACCACGACAACAGCTTAGCAGTTTTAGTACTGAAATACATCTTTCATTTCAATATAATTTCAGACTAGGAAATGTGATAATGTTTTTATTTGGTTTAATTAAAGTGCATTTCCCACTCTCAGGCTTTAGCATAAACAGGAATCAATTGTTCAGTAATAACTCCATGACTTTTCCTCCAAACAAGCAAGGTAACAAGGTAGCTTATTCCCCTGTTCTGCAGCTCTGTCTTCAATGCTAAAGGCTTCTGTTGAAACCTCAGCAAACTGCAAGCACAGAATTCGAGTATGCTGAAGAGAAGTGTAAGTAGGGAGTGTTCACTTCAACCCAAATTGATTGTAGGTTTAATTTATGCAGTTGCATTACTTACAAAACTTATGTAATTAAACACTTAAGCAAGAAAGACGCGTAGTAATGCATGTAGTTATGGTCTACATAGCAACATGAAATATTTATAGCTGTGTAGCACCTGTCACCAGAATGAATTCACTTCATGGAGACATCACGCTAAGGACAAGTGAAACTTTACTCAAAAGTCCCCTAAAACAAAGAGAAAACCCATGTGTTAGCAGGAGGTTGCTTTTGTCACTAACTGGAATAGTCAGTTTTGTGTTCATAGTCAGAGAGGCTGAGGAATCGTTTTTACTGAAGACAACCAGGTTTACAGCTGATGGGTAAATCTGCAGATTGCACCACGTCTCTGAATTATATTTTGTCAGGAAGTGGAAACTAATGGTGTTTCCTCAGAGAAAGGAACTTCTATACCTCCACAGCCTATATACTATGGCAGAAAAAAAGGGGAAGGGCAAGCAGAAGGGGAATAGAGGAGAATAACAGGAGAGGAAAATGGAGAGCAGTTGCGGAGCTCCTCTGCGTTCCCTGCTCTTACATTCAGTGAGGAAGAGAGATTACATAAAGATTATGAACTTCAATTCTATGCTGTAATTTTACATGTATTCTTGTGAAGCAGCTAAATCGTTAAACAATTAAACTGATGAAAAAGAGTGATATCAAAATTTACCAGTGTTGCCAATAATTTCCAGGGAAAAACTACCTCAGCTGACGTAAATAATCAGAGTTCTGTTGAATTCTGTGTGTCTTCACCTTCCATCTTTCCAGACAATTCTAAATCAGTGATTGAAACAGGAAACTTCTGTGCATTTGATCTCACGTGGAATTCAGAACCATGGGCTAAGATCAAATGTACCATAATGTGGGGAACAGGCACTCCCGTGGGAGGTTTGACATCTCAGCCTAACAAGCAAAGACTACCCAAAAAGTGACAATCAGGCAAGAGCATATCTGAAATCTCACAGCTCAATGGGAATTGAGTATTTCACTCAGGTCTGCATGGAACCATGCAAGATTCACAGCCTGGAAGCACTGGCTCAAGAGCAGGCACGCGCAACTTTGCTTTCAACTTTCTCTAAAGCCCCATTCACTGGAAAAGTGGCAGTGAATGCAAGTGCCTGCACTGCAGTCACTGCACTCATTCCTTACACCACATTGGTTCTTACTGCACCTATCCAAGAAGCAGGAGGCACAAGTGAATTTCTTCTTTCTGTAAAAGCACAATAACCCACATCTTCCATCTTCTGAGAGAGTGTTGTAGCTGTCAACCTGTTCTGTTAAGAGTAGGCATTACTGCAGAGCAAAGCCAAGTCCACCCCATTGTTTCTGAGGACTTTAACCAACAGGGCAGCATTAACCACATTCTGAGAACATTTGCTGGATGCAGTCCCTTGGGATCACGAGAGGAGATCGTCACATTTTTAGCATCTGATCTGATTCACCTACTGAGAAGTTCAGGGAAGGCAAGCACTTCATTTGAGAGCCTCATGGATCTATGCACTAACCAGCTAAGTCTTTCCAAGACTGCTGTGTCTCTGGGGACTTCAGTAGCTTTAAAATAAAAGAGAAAGATTACAACTGATAGTAGTGCAGCACAGACACAGAGGTTTTTCCACATTGCTATTTTAGGACCAAATTTAGTCCTCAGACTTTTCTGCGCTTTTGAATCTTTATTTAAAATCTTTCAAATATGAAAGACCACATACAAACGCCACCTGCTATCTGGGCTGGACGGGAGGTGATATTTTTGGCAGCACTGAGTTTTTAAAGAACTTCTTATATCCAAGATTTATTTTGTAGTTCTGTGTCCGTGCCCTCTGGGAGTCTTGGTCTGAGAACTTTCTGCCGTGGTTTCGTTCAGTATTTTAATTAACATTCAGTTTCTTTCTCATGTCATGGAGTCACACTCCTCCCACCACCCACACCCCAACTGAAGTCTGGGTTTCTTTACTCCTTTTTGGAGAATTTACTATCTGACACGAATTGCCTGAGCCTCCATTTAACCATCCTGGTATATATAAAGCGTAAAACTTCAAAACAATCAAATGAGCAATAAAGGTGAAAGATGGCACTATCTGAGAATAAATGTTACATTGATGGATCAGCTGGAAACATTTCAGGAGCTGTATGGAATTTGTTCTCATTTCCTAGTGGCAGTCAGTGATTTTTTTTCCAAGGGAATAAATAGGGAATTAATTGCTAATACTAGAAGGCTAAAACATATCCATCTATCAAAAAGTGATCTGCTACACTGCACTTCAGTTTTGCAGAAGGAAAGACACTGTTCCTCAGGATATTAACTCCTCAGAAGTGCCACTCTGTACTTTCTTTGTTCTTGCACGTAAGGATGAGTGCAGGCTTTAAACAAAGGCAATCATCGTTTGTTTCTCTAAGTGGAAGACACTGCAGAATTCCCTTCATGAAACAGCATATGGAAATAAGAAGCATAACCTCAGAGTATCCAGTAAAAGGAACAAAAATCCACAGGGCTGCAGACCACAGAACTGCTTCACCCACAACAAAAAGATGAAAAAGAAATAGACTCCACCAACCTGTGCTATGTAACCAGATATTTCTATTTCAGTCTGATCCTTTTTGAAGAGCCAAAGTTGTACTCTAGGCAAGAGGCTTGTCCTTTACCAGAAACAGCATCCAAAGAAAACCAGAGAATGCTGTACATCAGGTTTACTACCCTTAAGTTTTTTAATTGCTCTGACTGCATCTGAAATTACTCCATGTTTTACACTGCTTATTGGTCTTGCTTTTAAGAGTTTCAAGTGACAGTTTAATACTGTGAAATGTAATTGCAATTGTAATAAAAATAAAAGCTATACTTTCAAAATGTTGCCTTAAACATCTCTTAACAGATGCTGATACTTTGCCTTAAGGTTAAAATGCATGCATTCAGCGTCTGTTACTGAGTCACCACGACAGAGATTAGATCATTATATTTGTGTTTAGATTATCTGCTGTAAACACATCCGTGTGACTGTCCTGGGATTAATTTGATGAAGTATGATTTGACATCTGGGGACTGTCATCTTATTGTTATCTGCTCCTCACAGGGTTTGTTGGCAATTCCAGACCTACCTCCCCTGTCCAACTAAAGGGAGGGAAATAAGAAAACGGAAAAGGTCAGACATCTGAAGCAGACTTCACCATGCACTTAATATTTACATCACAAGAATGAAGGGAATAACTGTAACTGCAGGCACATCAGCTAAAGGACAGAAGCTCTTTTTCCTTTGTGGTGCAAGCACCTTCTTGCACAGAATCTGGCACTGATTCTTTTCCCAACTGCACGACATTTATTTCCCATTCTCTCCCAAGATGCCAGCAACCCAGCCTCTAGCTACTTTGCTAAAACAATTAGTTTTGACTTCCCTTGCCAGAACTGTTGCATCACATTCTAAACACTTGCTCCTCCTACTGTGATAAAACTTCAGGCAGAGAAACAGCCATGTGCTGGAGCAGCTCTGTGGTGCTGGGGACACATACAGGTTTACAGCAGTATGTCTGCTAAATCACTAGGAAACCAAATACTGCCAAATTTTCAACCAGCCTTTACTGGGACATGGTATTAGCCCACATATAATTAAATGCAAAGATCTTCTGACACTGAGCTATTCAGAGAACAAAATCTTCTTGAAACTACTGGACCCAAATAGGCGGACTGTTACTGGTATCTTCTTTCTCCTGATGCCAGTTCCAATCTTGTTGGCAGTGGGAGTATAAAACATTTGTAAGTACAGATTATTATAGCTGAACGGAGCTTGCCTTCCAGCAAACTGGAAGCTCACCTGCCTGCCATGAAATCCAGGGGCAATCATGCTATGTATGTCACTTAGGTAAAACTGAACCCTGAAGTCTGAAAACTGCAATATTCTGTGTGATTCGGACTCCCTATCAAATATCCTCAGCTTCAAAACCCCACTTTGCAACAGGAGGGTTTTGAACAGGAGCTCAGTTCCGTATGTGGTCAACCAACCCATGCTTCATTCAGAGACCTTTTACCTTTTAATTGTGACATTTTAATGTGGGCAGATGACACATCTGGATCCTTTTGTTTTGTTACTTGCATCCACAGAGCAAAAACTGCAGGAGAACATTGTGTGCCTTTAACAGAACAGGGTGGGGATAAATTGTGGCTATTATAATTATGCTGATTTAATGTGGGATTTTTCGTATGTATGAATTTTCTCAGGTGTTGTGTAGCAGTTCCAAGGGACAGCCTGAGACAAGTTGTCTATGGAAGTGTTTGTAATGTCAGCCAAGTCCATTCTCCTCATTGCATGAGCTACAACAGAGATAAGCAAGGTCCAGGTCTGCAAAGTGATGCACTTTGGCTGGGATACTGAACATTACATTTCAGTGTCAGCTTCATAAAACTTCAAATCATAGAATCACAGAATCGTTAGGGTTGGAAAGGACCTTAAGATCACCCAGTTCCAACCCCCCTGCCATTTGAACTTGGCATGGTTAAAATCTGAATGATCTGTCTCTGCTGTTTCTTTTCTAGTATAGTTTCCAGTGTGGCATAATGGCTTTAACAGTCAACAGAACCTGACACATTGTAAGGGCTCTAATCTTCACTTCCTTCTGCAGTTTTACAGTGCAAAACCAAATTCTGAGGTGCTTATGAAGTCCACAAGAATAAGTTTTAATACAATGCATTAGTTTCTCCCCATTCGATTCTAGTGAGGGCAACAGGATTCCAGGAATGTGCTTGGTCCAAAAGTTTCAATGTCACTGAAACCCTAATCTTTAGAAAACACTGGAAGATGAACTTTGACTGTACAGACCTTTAAATAAAAATAGCATTCTTATTAATGTATTCTTCCCAAGTGCCTGCTTCTTCCTAGCATGTTTCCCATCCTAATACTGTATGTTTTTGCAGCTGGCAATTGACATTGCCAATGAGCCTTTATGTTCAATGTTATTTAATATATTCCCATCAGAAAGCTATTTTTACTATATAATTTCAGTATCTTCTTGAAGTGTCTTGCATATAATGTTCATATTTTAATTTGCATTTTTCCCATAGGATAAGTAGATAAAGATTCAAACAACAGTATTGAAAGAATTTCAGCTTGTTTGCTGAAAGAAGGGATTTTATAGAAACTACTTTGTTTTACAAAAAAAAAATGAAAAAGTGCAACTTTATGCTTAAGATGGCTATTACTTGAGAT